ATATATATATATATATATATATATATATATATATATATATATATCAAATTGTTAAAAGAAAAAGACAAAAGAAAGAAATGGTCATTTGGTTTTTTTATATGGAGCAAGGACTTGCGGTATCAAAATTTTAACTTAAGGATAATCCTACCAATTCAACCAAACCACAAGAATCATTTCTATACTTTACTCTTTTTGAAAATATGGACTAAACGTGTCTTTTTGATACCAGTAACAGGGACGATAAATGTAATTTACTCTAATTTACTATTATTAAGAATTTTATTATTGTATAACAAAATTAGAGTTATTTAATGGTTTCCTTTTCAGATATTAATAGTTTAAGTAACATTTATGAGATCTTACATCCAATTTTCCAAAAACCGTAAACAACAAACTCATACGAAAACGTTATTTAATGACACCTTCCCATCATAAAATGTAAAACCATCAAAAGAAAATTTGCTTTGTTATTACAGTAAGAATTTAAGAGCATTCTAATAATGGTCCTAGCTAAATTAGCAATATCGTCCATAGAATTAAGCGAATGATGTTATGAAATTTGTGTTTTTGATAAAAATATATAAATTTCTTTTTTATTATAAAAAAACTTATAAAAGTATTCTAATAATGGCCCTAGCTACATTAGCCACATCTTCCATATCTTTATTCATATTCGTCAACGGTGATGTTTGACCATGCTCCTTAAAACTCCTCTCACATGTCTGCGACTCGATAATTGTATCAGCCATTCCATCTTCACCGAATTTAGGGTTACCAAGATTCAATGCATTAATGGTTAAAGGAACATCCACATGCATTATAGTGTTATACACATCTCCACACTGCGTCAGTGCCGCTGTCAACTCGGGCAGAGACTTTTTGAGAGCATCGATTTGTTGTAGGGTTTTCACACCTTCGTTTTTTACTGCATCAACTACGATGAGTGCTAAGCCTGTTAAATTTGCATTTTGGCTCTTGGGGTTTGCCAATAAAATAGAAAGGCATAAGTTGTATGAAGGTGTGCTCTTGCATGTGTTCTCTATGAATTGTCTGTCTCCCATGGCTAAAAATAGGGTTTCTTGAAAAAGAATAGCGAGAAAGAGAATGGTGACATGAGACAAGTTCATCGTGATGAATTGAAGGAAAAAAACGAGTAACGGTTTAATGATTTGTTTTCTATGATTATGATTACCAATTTATAGGACGATTTACTTCATAATTTAAAAAATAATAAAACCATATTTTGTTGATATTAAATGACCACTGACCAATACAAACATACAATTTAATTACACCCATCAATGTTTTCTAACAATTAATAGAAAATATATATTTTATTAAAAAACTTTCTATACAATATACTCACTACCACTAAACATAGTTTTATACACACGTTTAATTAGCGTCGATGAATAATTACGGATTATGGAATCTAGGCTTGTAGAAAATAACTGATACCAAAAATAACCGATCGACCCGTTTTGAATTAGGATAGATTAGGTTTGGTTATTCGGGTTTAGGGTATGTAATTTTGTGTACTCGGTTAATGCAATTTGATATAAGTTTGAGCATAAGGTGTGTATATGGGGTTTCGGGTAGGGATGGCAATTGATGACACGACACGAAAAAAATACACGACACGAAACGAAATTGGGACAAAACTGAAATTCGAATTCGTGTTCGTGTCGTGTTCGTGTCAAGTGTAAAAAACACGATGTCGTGTCATGTCGTGTTTGTGTTCAAAATTCAAAATGAAATTGACACGATTTAGCATTTGTTTGTCGTGTTTTCCGTGTTTTTCGTGTTGTATATGATTATGTATTAATTAAATAAACTAATTTTTATTTTATTTTATCTTTGTCGTGTCATGTCGTGTTTGTCGTTTTTTTAATCGGTTCGTTTTTATTTAGTTAAAAAAAAAAAGACATCGTGTCGTGTCGTGTCGTGTTCGTGTTACTTAAAACCTTATCATGTCGTGTCGTGTCAGAAAAAAACATGACACTATGACCTGATTTGCTACCCCTAGTTTCGGGTATACCCGAATATGATGAAACAATGAATCGAGTAATGAATTAATCAGAGTATGAATTCAAGTAAGAATGCGATATTTGAACACAGGATGTAAATATGATCTTGTTATGCTCTATTATGCTTTCGAATTCTTTACAGAGTGCAATAGACAAGTCGGTAAAAGTTCTTATCTAACTCTAGTAAATAACCCTATTTATAGGGAACTGAAAGCATACAAAAAATATA